TGTGACCCCACAGCACTCTACCCAGGATGACAGCTTGAGATTCTATCTCAAAAAGCAAACAAACAAAACAAAAAAAAGCCAAAACTCTTTTTTAGGCCAGGTGTGGTGGCTCACTCCTGTAATCCTAGCAATCTGAAGTTGAATAAAGTTGAGGCACATAGAATACTTGAGCTCAGGAGTATGAGACCAGCCTAAGCAAGACCAAGACCCCCATCTCTAAAAATAGCCAGGTGCAGCACCTGTAGTCCCCGCTACTTGAGAGGCAAAGGTAAAGAAGATCACCTAAGGCCAAGAGTTTGAGGTTGTTGTGAGCTATGACACTGAGAGTAACAAAATGAGACTCTGTCTCAAAAAGACAAAAAACAAACAAAACAAACAAACAAACTAGAATTGGTGACTATTTTTTAAGTTACAACACTTAACAACTAAGACCTTTTCTCATGACCACTGCTCGTTTCATGATGAAACAGCAATCTGGCCCTCCTCCTCCTCCTTAGGTGCGATACCTTTTTTCCATCTTCTTTAGCTATTCTATTTTTCACCTTCCTTTTAACTCCCACTGACGGGCGCTCTACAAGGATCCATATTCATCATCTTATTTTTTTTTCTTTTTTTTTTTTTCTGAGACAAAGTCTTATTTTGTTACCCTCGGTAGTGTGCCATGGTGTCACAGCTCACAGCAACCTCTAACTCTTGGGTTTAAGTGGTTCTCTTGCCTCAGCCTCCCAAGTAGCTGGGACTACAGGCACCTGACACAATGCCTGGCTATTTTTTGTTGTAGTTGTCATTGTTGTTTAGTAGGCCCAGGCTGGGTTCAAACCCACTAGCCCCAGTGTATGTGGCCGGTGCAGTAACCACTGTGCTATGGGCGCCGAGCCATCTTATTCTTTTTCTATGAACATTTTTCTTCCCAAGGAGGCCACCAATTCTATGTAAGGACAATTGGTTGATTTGTCCAACCATAATACCATTGTTTACTAGCAAGTCAAGACATAGCCTGGTCAATCAGACTTAGCATTTACTGAGTATTTACTCAGGGCACTAAGAACCTCCCTACATAGGGCCCAATATCAATGTTCCTAGGCTGAGTGGAGAAAGCGGGATAGTCTTACCTGTCGCTGCTTTAGGAAGTCCAGGGCAATCTGCACATTCTGCAACCTATGAAAACGCATCCTGCCCTTCTCTCGGGGCTGCAAACAAACAAAAAAAGGAATGCTAATTTTGGCCACACCAATTACCCACACAGATCCTTTCCCTTTTATTTCAAGGACTAAAAGACCACACAAAAATTCTTCACAATTCCTTCAATCTACGTTGAAGCCAGGCATGAGAACATTATATCAAGCATCCCTTAAGAGCAGACCTGTGTGTATTCCACCAAGTTCTCTGAGGCCCCCCAAATGCCTTGTATACTCCTACACATCTGGCAAACACACAATACCGATTGGCCACTAACGGGGGATCAGTGCCGCAGCATCTATACAGGTGCTTCTGTAGTCACATGTGGCAGAACTTGATTCTCGATGTGAGGTTAATGGGAACAAAGACTTTGGCTCAATGGCTCCTAAAATCACAGTTAAATGCTACTACAGAGAGAAGGTAAAAAGTTCTAATTACGTACTACACAGTAATAGAAGGAGCCAACCTGATTACAAACCTGGCAAAGGGAGTTCAAAGTTGCCAAATTCTAACCACAGGTTAATAAAAAGTTACACATGGTCAAGAAACAAGGGGGAAAAAATCCAAAATGGGGGGCAAAAATCAGGAAGTAACCTATTTCCCAGAAAGATGGATATTACTAAAGGAAAGCCAACATTTACCCCAGCATGAAATACCCAGAGAAAATAAACCCCTGATGGTATAGGATTTTCAACAAAATTATCCAAAGAAAGTTATTTTCTGCCAGTCACTCAATCCTAAATGTCGTATAACCCATAGGGAAGAAGCCCATCTCCATCGGTGCCTCTAGTACCCTGTCCAACACTCAACTATTTATTATCTATTGGAAACTGAAGGGCATCTGTTTGTCTGGTGAGTACCCAGAGGAACAGTTTTCTACTCTGGAACATTTTCTTCTGCTTGCTTTCCAACGTTACTTTTATTTTACTAAAATTAACATTAGGACTGCAATATCACTTTCAATAGATTATACTCGCTCCACTTGTAAGTGTCAAAATGCTACTAATTAAAGGCTAATAAAACATAAAGTAGCTCTGTTGTGGGTGTCTACACAGAGAAAACATTGGTTCAAACAGAAATCGTCAAAAAGTAGGCCAACACGTGGAGAGAGAAGGATGGAAGCATCTGTCTGGGCAACCCCCATCGCTTCTAAGCCATAGTCCCCAAGTAGGATAATCTACTCTACAGAGATCTCAAGGCTTCTCTGGGCAACAGGATAACTTCTTCAGTCAAAGTTTTAGGAAAAAATCTGTTCAGCAAGAGCCTCTTAGCTATTTCAGCTAAACTAATTGTGAATAATATGGCTTAGGATATCAGAGTCTGTGAAACTGAAGACTCTAAGGCAACAGGAAGGGAGATCAATGAGGTAAAAAGACGATTTTAAGAGGGCAGGGAATAAGGATATTGCCTTATTTTGGTTTCTGAAAAAAAGATTATGGGGTATAATTTAGGGCCTGCAAGCAGCAAATACCCTTCCTACACACTCTGATCCTTACTCCTATATACCCCCACCAAAAATAAACACCCTGAGAACATGCAAGTTAAATCTCGGTCCTCTACAGTAACTAGAGATATTATTAAACAAAGCCAGACTATCTCCATGCAGTGAGCTTGCAAACAACAGGCTGTTTTGAAAACAAATGACATGGTGTGTGGTGAGAGCCTAGAGGCCAGTGAGGTGGAGAGAGAGTACCAGTTAGTCTGGACTGTGTAGCTGTGAGCAATTAATTAACTGTCATGCTGCCAACTAAACTTTTTCCACAATTCTGCAATCTGGACTCAGACAACACAGCAAGGCCTCCAGAAAGCTATGGGCCTCCAGGTCACAAAGGGACTCAACATCTCCAAACACCATTATTCTTTTTGTGCCAACCATTCTCAGATAAGCAAAACAATTCCCACTCCAGGATCATCTAACAGTGACAGGAGGCACAATTAGTTTTAACCACTTTCTTTGGGACTCAAAATCCCAAGTGAAATGAGAAAGCAATTGGTAACTGAGTTACTTGGAGACCTGGAGAACCTCAGACTCTCTGATGGCCCAGCAGTGCCACAGTGCCAGCTGGGATGCTGGCATCCCCAGGAAGACCTACGACATCATCATCATCTTCCTCCTCCTGCTCCTTGCTGTTTGTGTGGCGCCAGGAGGGCATGCTCACCAGACGGAGGGTCTTCAGCCCTGCTGGCTCCTTTGGCCACCAATCAATGCAAAGGCACAACAGAGGAACAGAAAATTCACAACACAAAGACGAAAAGGAAATGAATTAAATGAAAAGGGATATTTTCTAAGTAAAAATAAATATGAAAACACCCTCCCACCTCCAAAGACGATATGATATAAAACCAAATCAAGACCAGAGCAGACAGCGACACTGCACATACTTTCTATTTTGAAACATGTCTTCCTTCAGTTCTCTATGGCCAATCACCCTCTCTGCATTTGTGAATCAATGAAGAAAGAAAAAGATGAGGAGAGTAGCTGTGAAAGAGGTATCTGCATGCTTGTTATCCAATGAGTATCTCCATAAACAACTATCGGTCTTCAAGGGTTAGCTAAAGAAACTAGATTGGTTATGTAAGCAATGTCATCAAAAAAGGATCATTTTCAACATAAAATCACTACAAGTTCATCAAAAGTACCAGCAACATTGCCCAAGATACAACTTTATGAGTACTGAAAAATAAAGTCCTGTATAGCAAAAGTGAAATACTGATTACTGGTTTGATTTATAAATACAGACCAGAGAAGAACTGAAAGTACATAGGCTGGCTTTGCTAATAAAAGCATCTGTCAGTTTTAGGTAATTAAAAAATATAACATTGGGCAGTGCCTGTGGCTCAGAGGGTAGGGTGCCAGCCCCATGTACCGAGGGTGGCGGGTTTGAACACGGCCCTGGTCAAACTGCAACAAAAAATAGCTGGGTGTTGCGGCAGGTGCCTGTAGCTACTCAAGTGCCCAAGTGCCTCAGCTACTTGGGAGGCTGAGGCAAGAGAATCACCTAAGCCCAAGAGCTGGAGGTTGCTGTGAGCTATGATGCCACTGTACTCTACCAAGGGCAATAAAGTAAGACTCTGTCTGTAAAAAAATATAAATATAAATATAAATAAAATTGATTCTACTGCAAAGCAAAAATAAAAACAAAAAACAAGGGGCTCCAGGGAAGCCAAGCTCTAATCCTAGAAGGAGCAGAGCATCACTTCAACAGTGAAATCTAATGTGCCAAATTCTGTTCTTTAAACACAACAATGACTAAGAATCCATCGAAGGCAGTGAGTGGGCTGGGCTTCATAGGCGACGTGAGCTGTGTGTCTCTTCAGTGCTCTCCTTTCCCACAGAGGTTTCCAATAGTCTATCCTGGACGTTTCTAAATCAAAATTACATGGTCTGTGGCACTAGAGACAGAAGATGAACCACACAGGATCACCTGTTTTCATTGGGCTCAAATATATAAAACAATAGGCCCACAACTGGGTTATTTTGATCACTCAAACAAAGCAAATGTAAGAACTATTATCTGACAAGCCAAGAGGTTCAAACTAAATTTCCTCTCAGATATGTGGGTGTTTCCCCCAAGCATGGTTTAATACATTTTTGGGAGGTAGCAGACATATTAAAATATTCAAGGAGCCCAACATACTCCATCCAGGGCTACGCTCAGATATCAACTTCAGCACCTTGCCAAATCTGTGAAACACAGTGAATCACAGAAGGGAGAAAGTGAGATGAATGTGCTGGGGCTGGGGTGGGGGAGGCGGTGAGGAGAAAAACTTCAAACACCTGGGCTTCTAAACATAAACCTTGGGGATTTGGTTGAATACAGAAAATTTAAAATTTCACAATAGATGGGAAAATCAGAGGAGTCTAAATAGACTAGAACTGGAACTCTAAGAATTAAAATATCTCCTTATTTAAAAGCCTGTGAACATAAATCTGCTATTCTTGAAATACTAGTATCTAGAAATAGATAAAGAATAAGGAGAAAACATGCCAACATAAAGGGACTAGAATGGATTCCTGACTTCATCAAGAAATAAAAACAAACATCATATACATAAAAACACATACATCTGCTGAAATTCTATCATTTGTGTAAGTCTGAGTTAGAAATAAAGTCTACCAATAATCTCTTCTACTTCCTCCCACCTAACAGAGCAAGCCGTGTTAGTTGCTTCCGACACATCCCACAAGAGGGCCCCACACACCATTTACAGGGCTGCACTTATGAAGCCATTCCTTAGGAGAAGCTTACCAATTTGATGCCTGAGAGGACCTCCAGCAGAGAGATCAGGTTATGGCCATCCCGCAGATCTTCATAAAGATCATTGATGTGCTTGCGGACCTATAAATGAGAGTGATTTTTATTTGATTATGAATTATTTTACTGGCTCGGCGCCTTTGGCTCAAGTGGCTAAGGCACCAGCCACATACACCTAAGGTGGTGGGTTCAAATCCAGCCCAGGCCTGCCAAACAACAATAGTGGCTGCAACCAAAAAATAGCTGGGCGTTGTGGCAGGCACCTGTGGTCCCAGCTACTTGGGGGGCTGAGGCAAGAGACTTGCTTGAGCCCAGGAGTTGGAGGTTGCTGTGAGCAGTGAAGCCATAGCACTCTACCCAGGGGACAGCTTGAGGCTCTGTCTCAAAAAAAAAAAAAAAAAATTATTTTACTATCCACAGAAGAATCTCTGGTTCTGGCCGAGGGCAGTGGCTCACATCTGTAATCCTAGCACTCTGGGAAGCAGAGGCAGGTGGAGTGCTTGAGCTCACATGTTCGAGACCAGCCTAAACTAGAGGGAAACTTCATCTCTAAAAATAGCCAGGTGTTGTGGCGGGCACCTGTAGTCCCAGCTACCTGGGAGGCTGAGACAAGAGAAACACTTGAGCCAAGAGTTTGAGGTTGCTATGAACTGTGACACCACAGTACTCTACAAAGGGGGACAAAGAGAGACTCTGTCTCAAAAAAAAAAAATCCTCTGGTCCTAGGTAAAGACAAAGGAAAGCACTGTAGCTCATGCCTATAGTCCTACTACTTTGGGAGGCCAAGGTAGAACAATTGTTTGATTCCAGAAGTTTGAGACCAATCTGGTCAACATGGTGAGTCCCTATCACCATAAAAAAATTTCTTTTATGAGCCAGAATTTCACTCTGTTGCCCCAGGCTAGAGTGCTAAGGCATCATAGCTTACAGCAACCTCAAACTCCTGTGTTCAAGTCAGACCCTCTTGCCTCAGCCTCCCAGGTAGCTGGAACTATAGGTATACATCACAGTGTCCAGCTAGTTTTTCTATTTTTAGTAGAGATGGGGTCTCACTCTCTCAGGCTGGTCTCGGACTCCATAAAATTATTTTTTAATTAAAATAAAAATTAAATAATTAAATAATTTTAAAGCCAGGCATGGTGGTGCATGCCCATAGTCCCAGCTATACTTGGGAGGCTGAGGCAGAAAGACTACTTGAGTTCAGGAGTTCGAGTGAGCTATGATAGCACCATTGCACTTTTGCCAGGGTGGCAGAATGAGACCTTGTCTCAAACAAACAAAAAGAATTTTAGATTGGAAGCAATAATAAAATTCAGGAAATTTCTGGTTGGAGTAAAATATGTATGAAATGGTAACACCAAAAATGTGTTTGTTTTTTAAATTGAAGCCAAATCTATTATAGAGAACACTAAACAATATTCTAGAAAGTTTAAACAAGGAGATGGATAGTCTTAATTACCCTGAATTTCTCAGGAATTATGTGTCAAAATGTGACAAGATGGCTAATGATGGACAGATGAATCTAGCCACAGTCCGAAGAGCCTTCCAAAGTTCTACAAGGGAAACTAAATGCTGGGTACCCAATGTTTCATAGGGTACACACCTACAATTTAACCCCTATTGTACCAAATACTTCTAATAGCAAATTTGAGGATTTTCTTTGTGGAAAGTTAATTCCAATTTTATAATAAAACTATGAAAAACAGATCTTACTTTGGAGGAAACTATGGTTAATATCAAATACTGTGCCAAATGTTTTATATGTCATCTCATCCACCACTTATATCTATAGGGTGAGTATAATTATTATTCCTACTTTATACATGAGGAGAAAAGGCACAAAGAGGTTAAGTAATTTGCCCAAGTGAAAAAACTGGCCTTAGTTTGATATTGCTGATTTTAGTCTTTGCCATTAACTGCTAGGCCTTATCATCAGCACAATCTCATTTTATTTATTTAATCCAAACAACTGTCTTGTGAAGTTTATTTATTCCCACCACTCCATGGAAGAAACTGAGGCTCTGAGAAGTTAAAGTCAAATAGCTATTTAATATAACTTATTAATTAGTCCTCTGATTCATTCCAAGTGTAGCAACAATTTCATTGAGTAATACAACACAGAATCAGAAAACTAGTAGAAATTGTAAGGAAAAAGACTGATTTTGAACATAATTTTCTAGACAACAATAGAAAGGGCTACTTTCAGAAGTAGTAGACTTGTAGTTCCTAGAATTTAGGCAAAAGCTGAGATTTGAAGACTTTTTTGAGTGGAAAACTAAATTCCCTTCCAATTATAATATTCAAAGTAGCATTCCAAGTAGAACAGGAATAGAAAAAGATAAAGGCATCAGGGAAGACTTCCTAAAGAGATACGACTTGGAGGATTAGCAAATGTTTGGGCTAAAAGGGAAAAAAGATGGGAAAAAAATAACATAATACTAGGTATAGAGGTGGAAATATGCAAGGGGTATGTCTTTGCATGCGTGTGTGTGTGTGTGTGTGTGTGTGTGTGTAAAGGAATAAGAAGGTAACAGGAAGCCAGGCAGGAGCATGCACCTGTAGCCCCAGCTACACAGGAAGCTAAGGCAGGAGGTTGCTTGAGATCAACCTGGGCAACACAGCGAGATTTCATCTTTAAAAAATTAAAAAATTAGCTTGGTGCAGTGGCATAAGCCTAATAACTACTCCAGAGGCTGAGAGAGGAGGACTACTTGAGCCAGAAATTCCAGGCTGCAGTGTACTATGATCATGCCTGTGAAGAGTCACCACATTGTATCTTAGCTGACATACCAAGACTTCATTTCTTTTTAGACTTAAAAAAAAAAAAAAAGTTGACAGATTACCCAACTAGAGAAAATGGTTCATGATGAAGAGAATAATAGCTTTAAAATACTGAATATTTCTTCATTTTTTAATATTATTTACAATGTACTGGCTCTAGAAATAACATTTATAAATTTAATCCGCAATATTAACATTTTCTCCATCAATTTCTTAAGTCTAAACAATGGGGGGGGAAGAAATCTAGCTCAGACTTACAGCATTTTCAGGCTTTCATAGTGTAAATTACTCCCACCATAATAAATTTCAAGCTACTAACATAAGCATCATTAGTTGGTAAGAAATATACAGGCTTGGCACCCGTGGCTCAAGCAGCTAAGGCGCCAGCCACATACACCTAAGGTGGCAGGTTCGAATCCCCAGCCCGGACCCGCCAAACAACATGATGGCTGCAACCAAAAAAATGGCCGGGTGTTGTGGCGGGTGCCTGTAGTCCCAGCTACTTGGGAGGCTGAGGCAGGAGACTCCCTTGAGCCCAGGAGTTGGAGGTTGCTGTGAGCTGTGATGCCATGGCACTCTACCCAGGGGGATAGCTTGGATTTAATAAAAAAGAAAGAAAGAAAGAAATATACAGTAGCACACCATTATATAGTATCTCCATAATAGAGAAACAATAGACATAATTAACCTCGAGAGCACAGCCAACAATAACATGTAGCAAAATAATTACAAAGTGAAGAGTTTTGAGTATTCGTTATCTTTAAATATAACTTATTTAATTGTAAGTTTATATAATTTAATTTTTAATAATAGCTGTACTTGGAAAACAAGTATACAAAATTGCTGAAAATTTAACATCGACACTCCTAAATCCGTGTAAGTTAACTCTAGCATACCACTAGCTTCAAGGTTTCAGTCCCCCTCCCTCAGATAGGCCTAAGGTTGCAGTGTGGAACAACCATAGGGACTGTTAACAGAAATAATAACCAAGTCATGAGGGTTAGAAGGGATATGGATTTAGTAGGTTCAATTTTAAATATGCTGAACTTAAAATGGCAACAAAAGAATTACAAATGGAAATGCTCTTAAAGCAGCTAGAAATATCAGAATTCAATCTGTGTCAGCTGAGAACTTAAGTTTAGAAGTCACATGCATAGAGGTGCTAGCTAAAGACATGGGAAACACTGGGCTTTCTGGATTAGGGGCAAGAAAAGAGAGCAGAGTGCTAAGGACTGTGCCTTAGGGAATACCCAAAATTAGAAGGCAGGGGATGGAAAAGCAATCAGCAAAAGACAGAGGGGGAAAGAAATATAGGATTAGTGAAAGAGGCAGGCAAAGAAGCAAGAAAGTAAGTCAAGACAGGAATGATTGCCAATATCAAATATTACAGCAAGAGGCAATGCCTGTGGCTCAGTGAGCAGGATGCCAGTCCAATATACTGGCGGGTTCAAGCCCAGCCCCGGCCAAATTGCAACAAAAACATAACCAGCATGTAGTGGACGCCTATGGTCCTAGCTACTTGGGAGGCTGATGCAAAACAACTGCTTAAGCCCAAGAGCTGGAGGTTGCTGTGAGCTGTGATGCCATAGCACTCTACCCAGGGAGACAAAGTGAGACTCTGTCTCTTAAAAAAAAAATATATATATATATGTATGTATGTATGTATATATATGTGTGTATATATATATCTTACAGCAGAGTTCAAGGAGGATGAAAACTAAGGAAGTTATTGAATTTTACTACAATAGTGTGACCGTTTTTTTTTTGTGAGAATCATTTTCAAAAATGGTGCAATGGAAATTAGATTATTAATGGATAATAGGTTTTTATAAAAGTTAGAAATTAGATTTGGCACCCTAGTTCAGTGGCTAGGGCACCCACATACACTGGGGCTGGTGGGTTGGAACCCAGCGAAGGCCTGCCACACAACAATGACAAGTACAATAAAAAAATAGCCAGGCATTGTGGCAGGCAACTGTAGTCCCAACTACTTGGGAGGCTAAGGCAAGAGAATTGCTTAAGCCCAAGAGTTTGAGGTTGCTGTGAGCTGTGATGCCACAGCACCCTACTGCGAGCAACATAGTGAGACTCTGTCTCAAAAATAAAACAAACAAAAAAATCAAAAAATATTAGTTGACTAAATTAATATCTGACTAAAAGATTAAATATTCATCTTTAGGATTAAAAAGACGAGGTACAACTAATTTAAGTGAGGGGCTTATTTTTGGCAGGTAAGACCTGAACAGAGGGCATAAAAATCAGGAGTGGGTAGACTGCCTGAGCACACAGGTTTGAGACCAGCC